GCCTCCCGCGTGCGTGGCGCTGGGGCGGCCGTCACCTTTGATGACTTCCACAAGGTCTCCTCGGCTGCCCCCACGTGCCCCCGCATCCCCCCACCGCGTCCCCTCGGTCACGCACGAGTGTCCCCACTTTCATCTGCCTCACCCACGTCCCCCACTGGTGCCCTGGGTCACCTTGTGCCCCCCTCCATGTCACCCCAGGTCTCCCTGGGTCCCTGATGTCCCCTTGAGTCCCTGATGTCCCCAAGTGTCTTACATATCCCTGATGTCCCTAGAACTTTAATCGGCTCATCTACTCAGCCATGTTTGGCTTTGATGAAGCCCCGTGTGTTTCCCAATAACCCCTCATGTCCCCAGTGCCCCAACATCCTCAACATCCGCAGGTGACCCTGACGTCCCCAAGTGTCTCATATGTCTCTGCTGTCCCCAGAACTCCAATCGTCTCATCTGCTCAGCTGTGTTTGGCTTTGATGAGGGTGGGCGGCTGCGGGAACAGCTCCGCTTTGCACCCAATGGGCTGGTGGTGACGAGCGTCGACATCCAGAGCGTGGAGCCCGTGGACCAGCGCACCCGTGATGCCCTGCAGCGCAGTGTCCAGCTGGCCATTGAGATCGCCACCAACTCTCAGGAGGCTGCCGCCAGGTCCCCATGCTCCCTCGTGTCACCTCATGTCCCACCAGGTTCCTCCTGTGTCCCCATGTCCCTCCAGCACACCTTCCAGCTGGAGATCAAGATCAGCACTAACTCCCAGGAGGCCACTGCCAGGTCTCTGTGTCCCTTGTGTCCCCCATGCCCCACCATGTCCTCCATATCTCTTATGTCCCCCCATATCCTCCAGTGTTTTCTTATGTCTCCCTATATGCCCCATGTTGCCATATGCCCCTATGTCTCTCCATGTCCCCCCATATCCCTCATGTCCCTAAATGTCCCCTATGTCCCCCATGTTCCCCATACCAATCATGTCCCCTCATGCTCCCTACATCCCTACATCCCCCATATCCTCAATATGCCCAGTTTCCCCAACGTGCCCCACATCCCCACACCCCCAACATCCCCTGTGTCCCCCGTGCCTCTCCACCCCTTGGTCCCTGTTCCCAGGCACGAGGCAGAGCGGCTGGCGCAGGAGGCCCGGGGACGCCTGGAGCGGCAGGGGCCCC